ATTGTTCATTGGATCGTTGGGTTTTAAGTTATTTTTATGTCATGTGATTTCTTGGTGGGAAAAAGTTCATTGTGTCTTTGTTTTGTTGTAAAGGAGAGGTTAGAAAAATAAAGTGTTTTGTGGTCAAGTTCTTTATTTCCTAAGTTGGTATGTATTTATCCTGAACTGCATGCTAAATGCTTTATTGTAAATATGTAGAATTGCATTATTGTGATTTCTGTTGTAGTATTTTGGTTCAGTCCATTGGATTGTGAAATTTGTAAAACTAAGTATGAGTTTCAGAATGACATGTATCTATCAAAATTCACCTTCATCTTTTATTCACTATTAATATTTAAAACCTTGCAGTTAACAGTCACTGTGTGAAAGTAAGGGAGAAGGTATTAGGTTATAGATTGATGTACTACACTCATCCCTCAGATGGTAAGTTACATGTGTGATGTATTGTGTATTGTTTAAAAGATAAAATATGTTAATTGTTGTATAATTCCATAAGCTATGATATGAAATATTTAAGGACTGTTGCTGAGTGTAAAGAACTAAATTGGGCACTAGAATGTAATTGATTATGTAAGGATATGATAATAATTAATGCATTGTTTCTACTTTATTTTACTTTATATATTTACATATTGTTATATACTTATTTCAGAGTGTTGGTTGGTTTGTACCTTATGTGATGTACCAACCTTGATGTGATCAGTATATAAACAGGATAGAACTTAACAGCTGTTTGTTGATTTGATTTTAACAATCCCGAACTCATTTGACCCTTAGGGGCTCGGATAATTATATTTATATTGCGCCGAACCACCCCTATTACATTAGCACCCTAATGCATTACCTCCGCTTTGAAGAGTATTCAAATAGGCTAGAATTACTGTTAACTACATTGAAAATGAGGGCCATGGGTTCAATCCCCAGAAGGGTCAACTTTTTTTTTCTTTCTTTTTTTCTTTTAACATTATTTATGTATCTCTCATGTCCCATAATGGAAAGAAAAAGTGTTTAATTTTGAATTTTTAATTTTTATAGGTATTTATTGGCTAAATTATGCTAAATCTAGTAATAAATATGGTACCTGATATTTTCAAAGTGTAAATATAATCAAACTAGATGGTAAAAAGTATTTCATATTTTACAAGAGCAACCAATTATACTTTTTTAAAAAATTTAGGGAAACTTTGAAAACAGGCACTCATTTGGGTAAATTTTAAGAATTTTTTTAATTAGGCTCCCCAAGTAGAAAAATGGTCAGACATGTGGTAAAAATGGATGGGGTAGGGTAACATTTTTATACAGATTTCATAAATTTTAAGTAGAAACCATAATTTTGCTTATGTGGATTGTTAGCTGAATGGTACTATTTGTTTCTTACCAAAAAATCATGGGAAAACATTTTTCAATAGAATGTTATTGCAGATTATTTAAAGGTTCCTCATTTCTAAAAAAGGGCCCTCATAACATCTTAGCTCGAGTTCAGAAAAGTGGCCATAACTTGATTTCCGTACGGTAAACTTTGTTTAAATTTTGCATACAGGTGTACTTCAAGGTATACATCTGACCTATGATGTCAATTCTTTAGTTCCTGATAGTGCCCATTAGGGTCCTAATACCTTAAATAGCTATGCTAAATTTCAGTGGATTGGTCCATGGTTTTATCAGTTTCAAAAGGCACCATGCAGCTGGATTATTGCAGAGGACTTCTCGGATTACACTCAACTTTTTGTACCTCAGGGTAATATATTTATGAACCATGAATCAATGAGGTAAATAAAACTATATTTGCTAGATTTTTATTGCATAAAAGTTCCTTTCAAGACCATTTGTATAATATCTCAAATATAGAGTCCGTTTTACCTTCTAGGACTTTTAAGTTCACCTAAAAAGTCATATCTTTAGTGTACTTTCATTGCTTATGTGAGTAGCTTATGAACACCAAACATTTATGATTTTGAACAAACATTATCCTGTCCGAAAAAATATATGTTTGGTTTATTTGTTTAATATAATTTAATTTGCTAACGGCTTTATAAAAAACAGACTGACATAAAGTAAAGGCCATAAACCGTTCAACATCATTTTCAAATGCCTTTGTTTACTATAATAGGCCATTTGTAATGATTACGTTAAACAATGGATGAAACTATTGTTATTATTATTTGATTTAGTACAGCATGCACTATGTTATTTGAATTGATTTAAATAATAATAATTCAATTATCTAAATATCAGCATTAATAATGGCGTAGAATAATCTACGAAGTCAATGTAAATATATTGTGATAATTTAATTATAAAAATCAAGCATAAATATTATTTTTCTTACATGTATAAAGTTTGTCGTTTAAACAAGAGTTACCAACTAATACAATTATGATATCAACATCTGTTATATAATGCGGAAATATACCGATAAATTCGGACTGCTATTTAAATCCATTTCGTCACAATGAGGTTTCTGACTCTTAAGCTTATAACGTTCGTTTAGGTCATCTTGACACCACGGGAGTCGATATGAAAACAATTTAACTTAACAAATGTACCTATTTCTGTTTTCTATGAAATATAAAAAATGCAGATTTAAGGATCGTTTCTGAAAGATTAAAAATCTTTACAGTGTGATTTATAAGTGATTATGATTTTTTTTCTTTTCAAATGGACATGTACACGTCTAAGCATATCAAATATGTATCCAATGATTTATTGCAGGAATCGTGATCTGTGCAATACTATAACATCAGTTTTCTCTTTAACGGGCCCTGGGCAGTTTACTGGCAAAGATGTAACAGGTAAAATGAATCTTAATGTAGATAAGCATTATTTCCAGTGTGATATAATCTAGGCTAGTGAATCCAATCTGTTTTTGCCTCTACATGTAGATATTGAATATTTGAACCGTTTGTCCATTGTTTGCTTTTCGTGTTCAAGATAAAAAAAAATATATTCATTAATGATGCATTTTATGTTACATAAAAATAAGTATTAAGATCATCACAAGTTTCAACAGTATGAAACGAACAAATTTCTTTCACACACTCATTCTGTGTCTCTCAGAGAGCGTATGTACATTATCGATGTTAGTAACAATATGCCCATTCAAATGTAAATGGTGAGTTTACAGTAACTTTATACTATGCAAAGATTGATTTTAACTTTTACTAAATTTCACAATAATCATTATAATCAATATCTCACATGACTCTTGAACATTTTACAAATGTTCTTAGGAATGATTAAGGTTCATTTGTTGAAAAGAAGTGGGGGCAAACTTTTTATATTCCGGCAATTATTTAAAACTTTTTCGATATCAATTACCAATGACCATCATAACAGCCAAACTTTATTAAAAACTAAATTTAAGCGTAATATCACTTTAACTACTGGAAATCTTATGAAAGGAATCGTATTCTTGATAGATCTTTTCATTCAAAATATTTTGTTTACTGTATTTGTCAAGTGTTTCTGATACTTGGTATTAGTATTCAGGTCTTGCATACAATATCTACTTTGTCCATTCTTATTGTAACACTCAGTGGGCAAATATAAAGGTGCGGGGACACACCGAGTCCACATAAGATAAAGTTGGTAAAAGGTATAAGAAATGAAGACTCTTTAAAATTCCAAGTTAAAATCACAAAACAGAACGTTATACAAAGTTGGTGCATAGCTTTTCAGTTTTGTCCTAAAGTTATGGTCAAGTTCTGTTAGGTCAGTTGCATAAATCTATAACGTTTGGGTCGCAGGGAAACATTCTTTTTAATTGCGGTGTTGCCTTTAAAGTTTACATATTGTGTGATCATCTTAATTTTGCCTTGTAAAAACCTGTCTATATCCATCGTTTTGTTTTGCGGTTTCAGTAAAATTAAATATTATGACTTAAAATTGCCACCTACTTTATTAAAATGATTTTATGCTGTCACGATATACCAACATACATGTATATTTTAAAGATTAACTATAGTTACAATTGTCATTTTCCAATAAATTAAAATGCTTAACATTAAGGATAAAATAATGAAACTGCCTCAAATTTAAACAGACTGTCCCATTCTAAATACAAGTTGCTTGCAACCGATAAGTTTAGAGGGATATTTTTAGATAATTAAATGAGTCACAGGGGTAATTGATAATTTAGATGACGTTTATTACAGATATGACAAATTATTACCCTTCCAGATGTTTTCCGCCTTTTTGATTGGATATTGATCACCCGAAAGAAATAGATATTACCGAGCCAGGCGGGAAATAGATATTACCGAGCCAGGCGGGTAATATACACACTAAATTTCTCCGTTGGATACCCCACGTTGTAAACAACATGCGTTGTGGCGATGCGCGTACGGTTTGACTTTACCCGATGTAAATTCCGATTTACAAGCACATTTTAACTGTCAAATGATAAATATTAACCAAAATAGAGTAATGATACATACTCTCATCAGTATTGAAAACAAATATGACCTTGTGAAAGCTTGATATTAATTCCAAAAAAGTGCGTCCAACAGACTACTCCTTTTTGTCTTGTTTACATTCGTTAGGTTCGAAAGAAAATACGTCATGTATTTAAGTGACGTCATGTTGTGTTGAAGGGGTACGTACCCTTAAGGGAATCTTATTTCGACGTTTCATTTGAAGTAGCAATGATTTACTTTAAAACCGTCTTATCTCGGCAGGGGAAGAGTAATAAAATTATTATTTTGGTTTTGGAGTGATATAACGGCTCGGGTGATATAAAATTTTGACAGGTAATATATATCCAAATATATCACTCCAAAACCAAAACAACATATAATGTAAAGTTATTATGAATTTTACTAGAATAGCCGACGTTTAAAATTTGATGTGTATATTATCACTTTAATGAAAAGAAAGGTTTTGCAACAACGTAATTGTCATTAGTTGTTACACAAGAAATAGCATACACAAACAAATACATTGTTTTGATTCAATTTACCTAGACGATTAGTGACGAAATAACCAATGTTATAAAATATAATAAAAGCAAGTATTTGTTCCAAAATTAAATTGATATCGTAGTTTACAGTTCTCCATGGCTATATGTATTAGATTACACACACAATAAATATACTCATCAATGATTTAGCAAAGCATAGTTTGATGTTCAAAGGAACTAAGTATAATAACACTAAAATATGTCTGTTTTCAGGTGACAATTGGTCGGGCAAAATGAATGTAGTAGCAACGGACTATAAAGGATTTGCAATTGAATGGGGATGCGCTAAATGGTCGACGTTTGATCAAACATGTGCAGACCCATGGCTGTATGTAAAAACACGACAAATGAAGCTTTTCAAGGGTATTCTTGGTAGAATAGAATCTGCCCTTCAAAACATATTTGGAATTTCACTCAACGAGCTTATAAGAATCCCCCATGGGAGACGTAAGTGTATTTTACAAAAATTACTTTGATATTCAGTAGCATTTATTTAAATATAAGTTAAAAGTATCATATTATAATCATTATGCACATGCTTCCATGGGCTAAGAACCGCAATGTTAAAACAGGTATAGTTTTAATGATTTGGTAGTTTCTATTTTCTTCATGTTGAAAATGACAAATAATTCATCTAACACACAATTAAAACACGAAGTTTCAAATATTTTTTTTTAATCTTTGATTTGTATACAACATCTTTTAATTACGTCTTTCTAAAAATTGAACCATTTATCATTTACTTACCTACTTCATGATAGAAAATATATACCTTTCTTTTTATCTTTAAACAGCATGTTCAAATGGCAAAAAGCAAGGTTAGAGAAGAAATTGTGCACGAACGTTTTACAAAATTTAAAACATACGAACGTGTTTTCTGAAATGTAAAGAAAGATAATAAAAACGAGAAAGATTACCTGCATTTTGTTTTCACGTCTTTGCAAAGTGTTACTTTTTACACACTGTACAATGATAGTGGCAGTGGCTGTAGTCCTTGATAGCGGATAAGCACGAATCAAACATCAATGTGCGAAAGATCCGTGTAGACATTTAAATTTACGACTTTATCTACGTAAATTCACAATTTTAACTTCATGAATTCATGTTTTCTACGATTTCAACTTCATGAGTTCATGATTCCAACTTTATGAATTCACGATTTCAACTTCACGAATTCAACTTCGCGAAGTCATGTTTTAGACTTCACGATTTCAGCTTAATGAATTCACAATAATAACTTTACGAATTCATCTTCATAAGTTCATGTTTGAAGTTAAAATCATAAATCTAAAATTTGAAATCGTGAATTCGCAAAGTTGAAATTGGAAATTGTGAAGTTCAAAACGTTAATTCATGAAGTTGAAATTGTGAATACATGAAGTTTTAATCGTGAATTCTGTATGTTGAAATCGTGAATTCTGTATGTTGAAATCGTAAATTCTGTATGTTGGATTTTGTTTACGTTGATATTGTGAACTTGTGAAGATAAACTCGTGAATTCAAGGCGCTGAAATGTCTCCACCGGTCTTGTGTATCTACGTACAGATTAACTTAACTGTAAAGAAAAAAAAAAGAAAAAAAAAACCCGCAAAATGCAACCAATGTAAATGCGAGACCTTCAGTGGTGTTTTAACGATATGTTAAATTATCTAACAACGTCACAATGCCTGATCTTGTTGTAAAGGGGAAAAGGGTGATGCGCTTAGCTTTCCAACGTGTCCCCATGCAACAAAATGGGCTTACAAATTAAGTACACAATGAGATGCTGCAAAAATAAAATATCTATGCGTAAATATGCATATCTAATTAATCACAGTACAGTGATAACACACAAACATACCAACAAACACATCTGCTATTCGCCCATATGACCTTTCTTGTTTCTGCTTCATGGATTGTTTGGTTCCTTTTGGTGGTCCTGTTATGCGAGATTTTATTTGGGGCTGCGGTCATTGAACTTTCTTTGTTGATCTTTATTATCATAATATATCAAAGGTAAAACATGTGCGTTTCAGTAAATTAGGAAAAATCGTTAAAGCCAGGCAATACCTGGATAGGCACATATAACAAAACAAAAAGTGGATAAAAACCCAACACATGCGATTTTGTGTCAAAGAGTTAATTACTCTTCATTAGTCGCCGGTAGAAACCGGCGACTATATTTGTAACAGTTTAATATTATATCTATGGTAGGAGAAGGCCTTAAAATCTGAATAAAAAAGTAAATCAATTACTGAACAATTAAGGACCACAATTATTTTTCATAACCTTAAAAATTCAAACATTAAGTAACGTTGCTAAATGAAATGAAATATACAAATATTGACATCTTAAAAAGCAACATTACAATTTTCATAAAATGAATTAACAATGTATCCCTATGGACCAGCTATTGAATTTAGGGATACTTTTACTTTTTTCTAAGCGTCAAGCATTGCTATTTTATGATTGATAAATCATTAATTATTTTTGAAATGGCACATTTAAATTATTTGGTTGTTTATATCTTATGAGACCTACTATATTTCATTATTTTATCTAATTATAAACAGATTCTCCCTGTAAGAATCACGTGACTACACGTTGTATGTTATTGTTATAAAATCTATGAATAGTAACAGGTTGCTGAGAAGACATAATAGTTGGCAAAAGGTATGGCGGCTGATTAGATGCAGATGTATAAATAATTACAAAGTTATCTTTCATTAACCAGTTTCATATTTTATATCATTAGAAAGGTCTGTATACTCAAAATTTACACATTAAAGAATAAGTTTTCAAAACATTTTCATTTTTTCATGGTAAAGGGTTAAACTTGGCCCTTTCTGTCAACGTTCAATGGTTTAGTTTAGGTTGAACATCACAAAATAGATTTATGCTAAAGAGGCAAATAGTGGTAATCGTCGTCTTCGTTATATTCCGTCGATTTTCGTCGCGCAGGTTACCAAAGCGGTTCATGACGGTAGGGATCCGGAATCGTATTATATAGTATACATTAAAAGAAAACAAATAAAATACCTTTTTGTTGATATTTTATCGAACTAAAAGGCAATAAAACGTTAACTATATCGTATGTAACGTCAGGAATATTGATTTCAACTAAATTATATATTTTTTCGATAGCGCATAAAAATATTTTTTTTATGCAGATACCACTTTTACGTTAGAATTGCATTGTTTCATGCAATAATTTAAACATATATATTTTCAAATGTTCGATGACCGTTAATTAGTTGGCGTTCTGATGTATACAATACGAATTTCGATGTCTGGTATAACGGTATAATGTATAAGGTAGAATTTCAAGAATATCACTCGCCTTACAAAATTAATCACAATTCATACAGTTAAAAGAAATAATAAAAAATAGTTTTATGAAAACTGCAAAAGGGATTTTCAAAGATTCGAATTTGACCTACTAGGTCACAACTTCGTCATACTTACCACAACTAGGCCATCGAGCAATATTCATTGATTTACTATCGAGATCTATACTATCAATAAAATCTTTAGCATTTTTAAGTTACGTAAACTAACGAAACACCTCCCGAAAATTAATGAGTCTCAGGTCAATATTGCCAGACAAAACTTGCTTATTTAATAATCATAGCAGTTCCTTGACAATATTGCTAAGCAATTTGCTTCAAATATGTTTTATTGTGAATAAACAGTTACTCAACATATTGTTCCTCTTTTTTATACTTTAACCATTAATTAAACTGATATTGTCTTATATTTATGATAATACAATCATTTTTCTATCCGGCGACTTGATGCTTTAGCATCAAAATCTCTACTTGTCATTTTAGTGACGCATTAAATAAAGCACACTGGAATTTCTAGACAGTTGCAGTGTCTACGCTGAACAGAAATTGATTGGTGGCGTGACCGAGTGGTTACCGCGCTTGACTAGTAATCTACGGGTTGCTTGCCACATGGGTTCAATCCCTGTCAGGGGCAACCCGTTGTTTCTGTGAGCAAGAACTTTACTTTCATTGCTTAGTACTGGTTGGTTTCAGGAACGGATTCAAATGTGTTTCAATTAGCTTATAGCTTCCAACGCTAAATCTATATATGAAATCACATTTAATAATTAAAATTGTTTACTACGGCTCTAATGAAGATAAATGAAGGACGTGGCTCTGTAATTAATTATATGAATAATCAATATAATAATTCTCATTTCAATACCTAAATGTCCTTTATATAAAAAATACAAAGATAAACTTATTCCATCAAGAATGTTTTAAGTTGATTTCAAACATCAGTGAAATAAGATCTGTTCTTTTCAGTGTATGCTATGTAAAAATTTTTATGTTGTTATTAATATTTATTTTGCCCGGCGTTGTTATGAGAAGCAATTACACCAAACCTAACCATCTCATGCGGCGTCTGTTGTTTCTTTACGTGAAATTGCTTTGTGTTCCGCAACGTATGTTAATAAGCAAACATTTACGGATACGTCCGATGCAACTCTACTGAGTATGTCGCTCGTATATTGTTTCTGTATATTCGATTGTGTTATATGCTGTATTAAGAAGATTTAAGAGAAAAGTTTGATTTTTAATATTTCCTTTCTTTTCAAATTTCTGTTTATCACTTTGTATTTATTTTGTCAAGAGTTAAATTTTACAGTTTAAAAAATTACTTTAAATTCATAGTTATTCGCTTCTTTGCTATTTTTGAGAGGTTAAGGTAATATTCTTTCTTCATTATTAAAATATATATTTATTAATATCTACTCCACAAAGTTTTCCACCTCCAGAATGATTTTAAAGTGTTTCTTGAAATTAATGTCGAGTCTCCATCTCATAACTGATGTTATTTCATTTTTTTTCATTTAACTCTTTTTACTGCCGTTCCTGGACGGCGATTTATACAATTGACAAGATTTGAACAGTTCTAACTGAACACCGCTTGCCTTTAGCCAATCAAAGCAAATAATTCAGTATCATATGATAACGAAATGGACGTCAAAAACTCCAATGAGAGATGCTTAAATGGACTCGCCCAACCGCCATGTTTTGTCAGGTTACTTATTCGTACAACTGAAAAATACCATAATCAATGTACGAGCTTGGTATCAGTCTTTATTCTCTTGCAGGATAAAAACAGCAAAATACAATATTTTTGCTACATGTCATTTCTGATTAGAGAATGTAGTCTAAAAAAGAGTATGTTTTGTTTTCTTCCCAACTTGCACTTAAAGAAAAAAACTTTATAAATGCTTTCTTTCGGGCGAGTTTAATGCTATGTGTGCTGTTATTGCATCATTATCGCATATAGAAGGTCAGTTATAGTCCGTTTCAGAAAAAAAAACTTCGCAAAGCAGTCGAAGGAGTATATAACGTAAATTCCATTTATAGCATGTTCACAGACATCAATTTTAATGTGTTGCAAGTAACTGTTGTTAATTACGCAAGAAGCTAATTCTTTTTGCCGATTGATGCACGTACTTATTAAGTAGCGCATGTAGTCTAACTTATTGTACTACGAGTCAAGTTATTGTGATATTTTTCTCATGGGCAATACTGAGTATCTCCTACATTCTGACCCAGCAGAATCTAACTGAGCGCGTCAAAATATTTTGACAAGAACGGAATAGTAGAGTATCAAGTATTTTTGTTGGCTTTATGTGTTGACCACATACAATAAAGTATTAGGCAAGAAAGGAAATATTATTTCTATATTCATGGCTGAACGGCGATTCCAAGCATTTTTGGAAATGCTAATACTTGTTAATGGATTTATTATTCTCTATGTATAATGTATGTGTTATACATAAACTTCGTATATCAGTATCTCAAATTGTTTAACGTAGGCCGTGGATGTAGTCATTGAAGTACCCTCGGGCAATTGTTTGTTTTCCAATAGCATGAACCTTTTTGCTGATTAGATCAACGGAATTTTAGAAAATACTGTTAGCTGGCTATTTGTAATTTAAAAGTCACTTAACATTTTCATAGAGTAACTTGACGTGTTCTTGATTATGTTCCATCCTTTCTTGCACGCACTATTTCACATAATTGGATAAATAGCGGTGTTCATTCCAAACAGGATGCACTAATTCAGTAAAAGGTTGATGTTAGGGTGTAGACGGGTTGGTTGTGGTCTTTTTTAAGATAAACAAATACACTAAACGTCAACTAACTAAGTCCGTTAGAAAGTTTGTGTCTTTTAAAACAGATGGATAGAAACTGATTGATTTTATTTAGCAGGAAGATCAAGCATATTTTTAAGGCAATGAGCACAGTGAATGATTGGGCTGCAATGTCACTAAATTTCTATATTTCGTGTCCACTCTTTTATGGTTTGAACCGATAAAACGAAATTAATTTAAAAGGCTTGAGCAACAATGTTAATTATTAAAATGATATGATATGCAGAGCGCAAGTATGGTCCTCACGTTAAGGTAACACAAAGTCAAAGTCAAAATCCCTACAAAATAAAATATATCAATGAAAATAAACATTGTGTTTACGACGATTTTAAGTATTTATATTAATATATATATACTTTGAAATTATTTTGTAAAGTAAGAAAAGTTGGTTACATAATTTATAGCCCTTCAAACTGTAGAATAACCTTATACAGTGAATTGCCTATGTCAATAGGAAACTCGTGTTTTAACTTTTGAGAACGTAGAAAGTAGCATATATCACTGTATTTCTTCATTCTATTTAAAACAAACGTCAAGCAACTATTTGCAAGTAATTATTTACTCTTATTTCTTATATAATTTGTGAGCTTAACACTTTATAAAGAATGAAAATACGGTATGACATATCGTTTAAGTTATCAGTGTTTATAATCGATGGTATAATGTTCTTGCACTTCTTCTTTTTGCTATGGTCGGGAACTACTTTTACCTATAACTGTCCTTTGCCTTTTGGACATGCTATATAAAAATGAAAAAGTATGAAAGTATAGTTTGCACAATTTACAATTATAAAATATTAAATTGGAAGTTCAAAACACATAAATTCTCTGGAATAACAAAAACTTGAATTTAAAATAATTATTATAATAATAATTGCATTTTGTATATAAATTTACAATAATGTAAATTGCTGAGCGTATTTTACAATACTCTAAAAACACTTACGTCTTCCATGAGGTATTCTTGATAGCTCGTTGAGTGAAATTCCAAATATGTTTTGAAGCGCAGATTCTATTCTACCTAAAACACCCTTGGACAACTTCACTTGGCGTGTTTTGACATACAGCCATGGATCAGCACATGTTTGATCAAACGTCGACCATCTAGTGCATCCCCAATTTATTGCAAATCCGTTATAGTCCGTTGCTACTATCTTAATTTTGCCAGACCAATTATCACCTAAAAATAAATTTTCTTTAAATTAAATGTATCTTGCTCAGTTTCTTTCATCAACAAACTGTATTTTAGTTGTCATCAATTTAGGAACTTAATTGTTGTCTTTATAAATTGATAGTTATTTCAAATCATGTAATACTTTGTTTACCGAGGTATAAAATTATTATGTTTTATTCATACAAATGATTATTTCTTCACAGCGTTGTATATTGCTTGTTTCGTTCATATATAAATACAACATTACTATAATTAACAAGTATACGTACTTTATACAAATGCGATTTAATACATTGTCATTATGAAGTTAGTTTTGTTAAGTATTTATATTCACATCTAGTGAAAACTGTAACAAAAGCAATGAAAATATGGTGCCGTAATGCAAATGTTAACACTGTAACAAAAATGCAAACGTCATTGGGGCTATTGCTAGATGCCATTGTGCATGCATTATTAAATGGAATGATCTAATCAGAGTTTTCACACGAACTCCTGGACATTTAAAAAATCGGGTATAAATATGTTAGCCGGGCTTAATGTTTGCAAATTTCCATTAAACTTAGATAATTATGTATGGCAAGATCCGACGAATTCCTTGACAGTTATCACAAGAACTCCTGACATGTTATCATAAGAACTCCATCCTTCGTTTAAATGTTCTTACCCCGTGATTACGAATTAGTTAAAATACAAACGGGGGAAGACATATTAAAAATAGAAGTATGGACGTACCAGTTCTTGCTTATAACAAATATAATCTGTATTTGCAGAATACCTTTGCCTAATTTAACAAATAAGCAATCATAGACGAACAATGCAGGTTTTATTTAAATACATTCGGTTCCATGATATGCATGACCAGACTGATAAATCAGCTGGAATTCCTTGAAGTTCACAATATTGTATTAGAGTGTTTCTGATTAGAATTAGTTTCATTTTACCAATAAGATCTTTCCCGGAAAACTGTCCAGGGCCCGTCACAGAAAACACTGAATTCATTGTGTTGCAAAGATCACGATTCCTGTAATGAAGCAATGCGTGGACTTGTAAGAGTATGCAAACATGTCTTTTATGCTCTTTCAAATCTTTCAGATATTTAGAACGTAAAAGAGAAGTATAATGCTTTGGTTATCATGTTAATATAAGGAAAAAAAAAGATTATTTCTCGTCATCATCAACTAATATATAAATATAATTATGCAATGGAATATTATAAAGTAATAACAATGGCGGCTTATTTAATATATATTATCACATGTTCTGTTCAAGTCATAACCGACAATGTCATCTTTATAATGACATTATAAAAAGAAAAGTTTATCCTCATTGACATTGGTATCTTAATAAAAATGTTTAAATAATGAGTCATTAAATCTATAGTTTTTAAATGTTATGCAGACCCTTATGTACGCCATTACAATTCAACAAATATTTTTTCTTATTCTCTGTGTATGTTTTGAACTTACCTCATTGATTCATAGTTCATAAATATATTACCCACTGGAACGAATATTTGGGAATAATCCGTAAATTCCTCTGCAATAGCCCAGTTGCATGGGGCTTTATGAAATTGATAAAACCACTGACCAAGGTACTGAAAAAATCATAAAAGGTCCTCTATAAATTAGTAATCATGATTATAGCAATATTTTCATACCCCCGCCATAAAATGGCCGGGGCATATAGTTATACCCTGTTTCGTCATTCCGTTATTCCGTCCGTTTTCGTTCATTATATTGGCAACAGTTTCATACATTCAATTCAAATTTGCAGGCCAAGTGGTCCAATGACTTTTGACAGAGTTTTTACCCTTGAACTTTGAAAAAAGTAAGACAATTTTAGTTCCCGTCCATTATCTCCCCAATAGTTGTACACATTCAACTCAAACTTGACATTTAGATATATCATAGGAGGTAAAGCTCGAATTAGTTATGGTTTGGGCAAAGTAATTTTTCTTGAACATTGGAAAAAATAGAATTTTCATTTTTTCCGCACTCTGAATTTTGTAGAAATGTATGTAAAAGGTTCTATGAGCGGGCATTAAACCAGAAAATACAAGTAAAGTTCAAGAATTTTGTTTTGGTCCGATGATTTTTGAAAAGCTATCCTTCTTGAACATAGAGAAAATTAGAAATTTTCAGTTTCTGCTCTAACATTTTTAGGGTTGTATGTCCGAGGTTGACATAGCATGTGCTGGTATTGTACCAGAAAATAAAATTTAATTTCTAATTTAACCATGGTCAGATGTTTTTCACAGTTATCCCTCTTGAACTTTGAAACGATTTTTTTAAAAAAAGTCATAATTTCTAATCATTATCTCGGCATGCAACTTGCAAGAGATTAAGACTGAATAGTTTCAGGGCCTTGAACTTTGTATGAAAACGGGTTGTATTAACATTGAAATGTTAAAGGGCCTTGAACAAATTTGGAACTAAATATTAATATAACATTTGACAATTAGCTGCATGAGGGACCATTCGTGGGGTCACGACACATTTTTAGTTTCTACTCAAGTTAATTTTTTAAAACACTTACTGGTCCAATTTTTTCATGCTTCAGATAAATAATTTTATGATAAAAATTCCGAATTTTTGCAGAAAAGAGAGATCAATCGAAAATTTCAAAAGGTAACAAACCGCCTTTAGATTAAATCCGGGCATTGGCGGAGGCTGTACGCTCAGTCTTTCTTTCACACTTCTGGTATCGAATCTTGTCATAAAAGTGGGTATATTCTGTCCATGTTTCTGTACTTGACCCGAAGTAAAAGCTATTGCAGTTAAAACCACCACAACTATAATAGTAATTTCAGTCATGTTTCCTTTTTCCACCAACAACTGGCTCTATAGTTAATAAGAAAATCTGTAAAAATGTTGGTTTGTCTATTCTTTTATTAATGATATTTTTAATTTGTATTATAATAGTACATGCATCATAGAATATGACATAAAAATCCGAGCGAATGGTCTTCAATTGCTGAACGAATTCAGGTATTAAATTAAAGCTTTATTCATGTGGTTTGATTTCTGGAATTATTTTGATCAAGGAAATTGTTGAATAATTATAGCAATCACAAAGATTTTCTTTTAATTTTCACGAAAAATATTAGCTTTAGCTCCTAAAAGCAAATGTTTTATGAAATACGTCTTAGCGTTGTATTCTTGAAATACAAAAACAAATAAATAAATAAAATAAAAAATAAATAAATAAAATAAATGACAACGTTTTTTTATTCGACTTTGGATAAAATGTGCATCGTTAAATGAAATGTGTTTCAAGCTTTGTCTTGATATAGATTTTAAGTTGGTTATGAGAAAATAATTAATACTTCAGTTCTTAACATTTATCACTTATGTTGTGTTCTTTCTGAAAATTTAACATAAAATTTATTGTCATTTCCATAAATATGAAGTGCTACCGAAATATTAAAAAATATATTTAATTTCAATCGTTATAAATTATCAATTTATTTAATAATACAAAAAAAAAGAAAATGAAAAGCATACCTCAATATGCTATAAGATAATGTGTTAACCATAAATGAAGTGTATTTAACTTATAATTAACCAAGAACATACGTACAAATTTCAGCTTATTCGGTTGCAATGTCAAATAATATTCTTTATCGAATCTTCAACCCGTCTGAATGTCGAAATGAAGAAAATAAATTTGGTTTTATTCTACAAATATAATGAATGCGCAAAAGGTTACTTCAAGCAAGAGTTTCAACGCCCTGAATCCAAATGAATTTCCGCCATTATCTGCATGTCATAAAGTGATAAATGTCTGTCTATATCCTTTCAATAAAATATAATTTGAATAAACCTGTACAAATCTATATGATATCACCATTATGGAGTCATCCAAAAACAAATCACTTTGATATGCATGACGCCAAACTTCCTTAAATAATAAATACAAACTGAATCTATATATCATAACTAAATTGAACTACTGGGTGTTTTTTTGGCTATTAGTTAAGCAAATAACAATTAATCACTTATTAAAATGTCTCAATCATGTTTTAATTATGTCTCCCAAAAATGTTTGGGAGAAATATTTTTTTTACTTTCACCGTCTGTCTGTCCCTTTTGCCGTCCGTCCGCATTAAGCTTGTGCGATTTTTAAAGGTCAAACTGCTGGTGGGATTCAACCAAACTTTACAGCTTTGGTGATACGTACCATCCCTAGTTGTGCATATACTCGCCTGCACGTTCTGCTTTGCCTCACAAAATGGCTGCAAAGGCTAAAAATAGAAAAGCCTTGTCCGGCTTTCACAGGTCAAACTGCTGGTGGGATTTCAACCACACTTTACAGGTGTGATCATTAATATCCGCTGTGCTGCACAAAATAGCCGCCATAGCTCACTAGAAATGGATATAACTAAATTTTACAAACTTGCTTGGAAATCACGTGTAACAAATTGGCGAAATTGTGTGTAATTAAACATTCATTTGAGCAATAACTTTGACAATCCATCTTTTTATATCATTATCATGTTTTTATTCATTTTCTTACAATTGAAATATATTGTGAAAAAAATTCATAGAAAAGTTACTTTAAGAAGCTGACATTTTAGGCGAAGAGAAATTGCCCTAAACCGGATCATCAAGTCTACTCACTAATAATCACTAAAGGCAATGCTCCGATTGGCTAATGAAAACATTTCGCAATGTTCAAAAAGCCCCACTTAACACCTTAAATGCTATTCCTTTTTAAAAACCTTTTTTGTTATAATTTCCGTATAGCTAAACTATGGAACAGAATTAGTGCATTTATTTCATCTTGCTTTATGATATCGGGACTTACATTATGCTTGTTCCATTTCTTTTTGCAATGAAAACCCGCTTTTGCTGAATTTTAAATCAAGCCCTTTTGATTACTGACTCCTTTTTTTTT